GGCGCGGGTTTTGTACTTGTTGCAATTGCGCCTTCGCCAACTGATATTGTTGTTGTAGGTTCGGCAATAGCTTGGCCATGATCACTCAACTCCTTGTGCAAATGGATGACCGTGGGGTCACCTTGGGGTACATTCGCTCGGCTTTGCCATGCCGAAGAGGTGTCCGCCATTTCATCAAGTACATCACATGCCTCTTGGTAAGAAAGTTTCATAAAGTTCCCACCGGCCAATTGGTTCACAATGCATTGATTTGTGGTGTTGATGCCCCTATAGAAAGTCTGTTGGATCATCGCCTCAGTCATGTCGTTGTTAGGGCATTCCTTCACCATTGTTCTATATCGCTCCCAGATCTCATGCAAGGGCTCCGTTGGCATTTGCTTAAAGGCTAGAATCTCATCCCGAAGAGCCGCCATATGACTTGGAGAAAAGAACTTTGCAATAAATTTGTCCGCCAATTCATCCCATGTGGTGATAGAATGATTTGGTAACCTTTCTAACCAGTCCAACGCTTTGCCCCGAAGAGAAAACGGGAAAAGCCTCAATCTCAACGCATCCTCTGACACGTTTGTTTGTTTGCTGCCCCAGCAAGTATCTACGAACCCCTTCAAGTGCTTGTATGCATGTTGGTCGGAGGCGCCCGTAAAATATCCCCTTTGCTCGAGCAAGGTCAACATGACATTTGTGATTTGAAAGTTCCCCGTCCGGATTCGGGGAGGAACGATGGCACTTGCGTACCCTTGATTAGGAAGAACTCTTGGGACCGCTCTTGGTGGTGGCGGAGGAGGGTTTGGAATAGGATTGTTGTCATGTACATTAGCATTGGCATTTCGACCTCTCCGTGGTACTTGAGGTACCGGAAGCTCATCTTGCTCAACATCTTCAACCTCCTCCTCCGCCAAGGCATTGCCAAGAGGGTCATTTCCGTTTAGAGCCATGTGTACCTGATGGATCAACACAAATAAAATTAGTAAAAAGAAGGAAAGAGAAGCAAAACACAAAACTAGCTACACAAATAGTCAACACTGTAAGCTCCCCGGCAACGGCGCCAAAAAGTGATCAATCGCGCAACGGACTCAACCTTAGGAAGAGTGGGCGCTAATACTTTTACCCAATAGTGGTATCGGGGTCAATTTTCACAGGGAGCTAGAAAGGGAGTTGGATATTTGTTTAGCCTAGAAATGCGTGTTTGCTTCTAATTGATCTTCTATCATTTTTGGGTTTTTATGATTACCAACTACAATTTAACAACTACTAATTATAAAAATTATGCTAAGAGATTAATTCTAGGTTGTATGCAAGATAGAGAAAGGCACTAGGGTCGTGGCATTTACCTAGGTGGTCAACTAACGGGTAGAGATTCCTAATACAAGAATGATGGTTATGGGGCTTATGCTATAACCATTGCACGATTGCACTCACTCTCACACCTCTCGGTAGAAAGAGTGATTATGCCCAATTGACTCTCTTGAGACCAATTGGGTAGGCTAACAAACCAAGCAACTTAGGGTTCAAGTTGGATAATTACTCTCTCGAGGTTTTACCCGTTAATTGGGACTACCATTCTCATGGGTCCATCCCAATTCCTTGTTGGGTTAATTTTGGAGTCATAGACACTCTTTCTCAAGAAGAGTCAAGACCCACTAAGCTAGACTTAGTGTTTGCAACCACCAATTCCTATTTAAAACATAAAATTAACCCAAATATCAAGCACCCAACATCATTCAAGCATTAAACAATCACACCTATTGATTACCCACACTAGGGTTGAGCCACAACCCTAGCTAATGGTTTAGCTAGCCATAATAACAACAGAAATTGAAGAAGAAGTAGATAAAATCAACATATAATTAACTAGGAAGTTAATCTACACGAATCCACGTTAAAACAAGATTAAAGTGCCCAAAATAGGCTAAAACTTGAGTCTCACGAGTTCTGCTGCTATCTGATGTCTAAAACATAACCTAGAAATAATAAAATATTCTATTTATACTATGCCAGAAAAAACGGACAAAAATACCCCTGCGGGGCTGGTGCGGCCGCGTAGGGGTCTTGGCCTTCGATCATTCACTTCTGAAGCTGGGGACGCGGACCGCACAAAGAGGTAGCGCGGCCCCGCAGGCTAATGGGCGCGGACCGCTCAACAATGAAGCGCGACCGCGTAGACACCAGCGCTGACCGCGTAGAAAAGTGCGTTGACCGCGCTTGGAGACTCCTGAAATGGGTGCTCTCTGAATCTCCTAGCGCGGCCGCGTAGCAAATCAGTGCGGTCCGCGCTAGGTCCTCCTGTCCCTACTTCAATGATTTTTGATACTTGAGCAGGTTTCACTCCGTTTCGAGCCGATTTTTGACTTTCGTCATCTTGTCGCTCAAACCTGCAATCAAGCGCACCTTGTAAGCATTCTGGGTCTATTCTATGACAATTCATACATAAGGCATAGGCAAGTATGGGCATAAAACGTGTTAAAATCACAGTTATCAGTCATCACAAAAATACCATACGAACTTTGTCGAGCACTCAAAACACGTCAAACAACAACAAAAACACGAATCACACTCCAATCCAAACTTAATGAACTTGAAACTTTAAATTTCCACAACTGATGCCGAAACCTATCAAACCACATCCGATTGACCTCAAGTTCTGCACACAAGTCATAAATGACACCATGTACCTACTCGAACTTCCGAAAATCCAATCCGACCCCGATATTAAAAAGTCCACTACCGATCAAAATCTCCAAAAATTCAACTTTCGCCATTTCAAGCTTAAATCAGCCACAGACCTCCAAAATACAATCCGGACACGCCCCTAAGTCAAAAATCACCCAACGGAGCTAACAAAACCGACGGAACTCCATTCCGGAGTTGTCTTCACACAGTTCCGACTACGATCAAAATCCTAAGACTTAAGCTTCCGTTTTAGGGACTAAGTGTCCCAAAATACTCCAAAATCAAAAACAAAATCTGCCGGCAAGTCACATAAGATGAAAAAGATACGGGGGAAGCAGAAAATAGGGGATCAGGGCTATTACTCTCAAAACGACCGGCCAGGTCATTACAATATTATAAAAAATCGACTTTGATATAGCATGATTATCCTTTGTAGATGCCTCTGGCGGAATCGAAACAATATTCCTATGTCATGCATTACTTGCAAATGTCAGATCAAGAGACATAATATTGTTAACAATAAGAACAAATGGTGTACCAGCAACGGTTTTATTATAAGGTCGTACAACTCGCTTTAGATTTGATATACCACTTCAAATAACTGAAATAACCATCACAAATATATCAAATCAGAGCAATAGTGCTAAGTTTATAAGGAAAGCAAAAGTGATAATATGGATGAAGCGCTTTTGGCTAAGCGTCAAATGATCGAAACAATCACCCAGAGTTTTAGAGATATATTGGATATCGTTAAACCGTTTGGTCGAAAAGTAATAATTTGGGAGGTATTTTCTGTCAAGTACGATATGTAGTTCCATAATTGACCAAAGCAAAAAATGTAAAAGTTAGCTTGCCAAAATTATACTTATGACCTCAAATGAAAAATACTAAAATAACAAGAAATATAAAAGTAAGAATAGATCCAGCATTCAGTGACTTCTTGCTTCGTGTCGGAAATGAAGAAGAGCATCCAATAAAAGATGATTTGATTCATTTAGAACACTTGGTTATCAACCTCAATGGTAATAATAGTGCATTTAATAAGGAAAATATTTTCATCATTAGATTAAAATGCAATTTGTACATATTATATGATAAAAATTAAAGAGTTATCTTAGCTAGCAGAAATGAATATGTTGATCAACTAAATAAAAGGTTGATTGCTAAGTTTTATGGTAAAACAAATTTTTTTTAAGTTTTACTCAGCAGAAGATGATACCAACAATAACTACTAAGAAGAATACATAAATAGTGTAATATCAAATGGTCTTCTACTGTACATGTTTGTTGTCAAACTTATTATTTTTTACGTATGTTAGTGTCACCATATATATAATAGACTAAGTTAAAATTGATCTTCCATTGCATATAAGTTTATTTTGAAGAAACATATGTCCGTCATGCTACTGAAAACTTGGATCCGCTGAATGGCTTATGTAATAGTACACATATGGTATATAGAAGTTTTGACAATAACGTCATACATGCAGTACTTATGATAATGATCAATGTGCTTGTAAGTATGTGTTTATCCCCGAATTCAACTTTTGTCTTCTGAAACTAAAGAAGATCCTTTTAAATTTGTGTGAAAATAATTTTTAGTATGTTTATGTTTCGCAGTTATAATAAACAAAGCACAAGGACAAACATCCTAAATATTAAACTATATTTACCACAATATGTTTTCTTACACGAATAACTATATGTTGCACTTTCAAAAGAGATATCAATATCGACAACAAGGGTTCTGGTTATGACAAAGTAACCAAAGCATTAGAACGAAACATATATAAAAAAAACACCGTCTATAATGCATTCGGTAAGATACCATCGTATTAGATACCTTTAAACTACAATACATAATTATCTACTTAACATTACTAAAATTGATCATTTATGTAAGTTCTGATGATATCCTTTCATTTTGAATTCACGTATTATGCTAATGTAACAATATTTTTCGGCATTTAGATGATCGTTGTAGCATTATATATAAAATTTCTCTCATTAATTAAATTTTATTGTTCCTTCATATAAGCAAATATTTAAACCACTATGAGCCATTATTAACGTGCAATGCACATTTATAGATACTAATATTTAAAATGCACATTACGAATATTTTATCTAATTTAGCATTGGAGCACATTATCTTAATAGAGAGTTTGAAATTTTTCATCTTATTTAAAGACACTAAATTTTTCTCTTATTTTCTTTAAAATATTTTAAAGAAAGAAATAAGAAGTCTTCGCTTAATTTTTTCTTCCATTTTTTACTCTATGGACCGTTTCCTCTGCTTCTCGTTCCTTTATTATACCTCAAACATAGGATCAGGAGATGAGGGTAGTGTAAGGAGTAAACCATAAACTTTGAGGCTTTGCCTCTAAAGTTGCTAATAGTAGTAGTAAGTCTTTTGGAATAAATCTCGTTTGGCCAAAAGGTAAAAGAAAAGAAAATAGTCCATTATTTGCGGCCAATCACGAAAATAGTCCCAAAATTCCCAAAACAGGTTGGATTCGGCAAAGTGCGCCACAAGTTTTTTAGCGTAAAACTAACTCTAGCTTTGTTCGGCACTCTGTGTGTGTGTGTGTGTGTGAAGCAGCAATAATCCGTCATGCAGATCTTCGTGAAAACCCTAACGGGAAAGACCATCACCCTCGAAGTCGAGAGCAGCGACACCATCGACAATGTCAAGGCCAAAATTCAGGTTCCTTTTTCTTTTCAATCCGTTTTGGATTTTGCTTCAATTCTTTTCAGCTATGGATTTTAGTTTTCGGCCTTTTCCTTTTGTTTTATTTGATATCTCTTTGGTTGCTATTTGTAAATATCTCGCTCTAGTTGTCACATGTTATACGAATTCCCACATATTGCTCTAGTTTTTGCTATTTAGGGTTATGGCCTTTTAAGTTCTTCCCTAGGTTAGCTGTTCGGCTAATAGGTGCACACCTTACAATCTTGAAAAGGAAGAAGGGTCATGAAAATCAGAAGATAAATGGGCGCTATTATCTGCACTCCCAATTTTATGTCTTGATTAGCTTAAGCGTTAAAATACGAATGCATCTATTTGCATTAAGTTTCGAACCGTGCACCATCAGCGTCGGGGATTTCTTAGCTATTAGAAAAAGGCATTAATAACTTTTCTTCTTCTGTTCTTCAGAAGTAGTTTAGTCATTCATTCAACTCTAATAAGGATTAAGAATGTACCCGAAATAATTCTACTTACATGGAGAAAGGAACACAATACTAGATGTCCAATCCAGTTGGAAAGTGTCTTCCTTCCGAGGGAATTGGAGTGTCCTTTCTGATATATTTGGTATAATGGAAGAACCCCATTCATTCTTCTATTTGTTCTATTTAACACTAAAGGAACAATTTAAAGACTAGAAAATTCGAAAGGGACATCCTGTTGGTGTTCAGGGGATTTGTATTAGTTCAAAATTTTAAAATATAAACAACACTACTGTTCCAAAGTAGTTGGGGTCAGCTATATGAATCTTTATATCTATTACTCAGTTTATCTCAAACTAGCTCTCTAACTAGGGATTCTCCTTTAAAAGAAATGGATCATGATTGGGTTGGTGGTTGACACACCTCATTTTGTTTTATGACTTGTGTTGCATCCCTGTTTCGCTTAAATTCATAATCCTGAAGTTTGGTTACTGTGCACTGCTTCCTCTCTTATACTTTCCCAAAACGTGCTAGTTTGATACATATAGTGATGGTGAACAATTGACTTAGTCTTTCAACCCCAAAAAAAGAAAATAAAGTATTGCCTTAGGCTTTCCCTTCTCCTGCTCCCCACCCCCCACCCCCCACCCCACCCACCCACCCAAAAAAAATGGCAGTGTTCTTTAATTTCTGGGTTTAATGCTTGCTTGTAGTAGTGAATATTATACTATTAGGCATTGGCTGATGAGTAGCTGGATTTGTTGCTTGCCAGGACAAAGAAGGGATACCTCCTGATCAGCAGAGGTTGATTTTTGCTGGAAAACAGTTGGAAGATGGTCGAACTCTGGCTGATTACAATATCCAGAAAGAATCAACACTTCACCTGGTTTTGAGGCTCAGGGGAGGAACTATGATTAAGGTGAAGACTCTCACTGGAAAGGAAATTGAGATTGATATTGAACCCACAGACAGCATTGATCGAATTAAGGAACGGGTTGAGGAGAAAGAAGGAATACCGCCTGTGCAGCAAAGGTTTGCTTCTCTTCTGTTTTACTTGGTTTTTCACTGTGTATTTGTGGTCTTTATTGTACATTTGCTCCTCTTAACCTTGTGGCCGAAAAGAAAAAGTATTTGCTGTTTCTATAATACTGTGTGCCTGGCCTAGAAGCTTGTTGGTAAAGTTCTTTCTGAGGGTGTAGTGTTCTCTCTGGTACTTCTAGCATCCCTTTAACGATAATTTTTGCAATGCTATATTTTCTACTTGTAGTTATGTACCTGTTTCCTAGAATTATAACCCCCATGCTTCTCTCAATTGACAGTGAATGCAAGATAACAATAGTCACTAAACATAGGATATTAACATGTAGATATCTGTATGATTTTACTTGGATACTTTTGGATATGGATGTTTGGTTGTAGTGTTCTCTCTGGTACTTCTAGCATCCCTTTAACGATAATTTTTGCAATGCTATATTTTCTACTTGTAGTTATGTACCTGTTTCCTAGAATTATAACCCCCATACTTCTCTCAAATGACAGTGAATGCAAGATAACAATAGTCACTAAACATAGGATATTAACATGTAGATATCTGTATGATTTTACTTGGATACTTTTGGATATGGATGTTTGGTTGTGAAATTGAATGTGAACCTCTCAATTAAGTTTTTTATGCTACTCCCTCCATCCCAATATATGTGATGGTGTTTTACTGGGCACGAAGTTTAAAAAAGAAAGACTTTTGAAACTTGTAGTCTAGAATAAGTCATATATAGTTGTGTGGCTATGAATCATCTCATTGAAGATAAAATGGGCATTTTAAAGTTAAATTTGTTACTAACAAATTTGTTACTAAATATGTCATTCTTGTTGTGACCGATGGAAATGGAAAGAGTATCACATAAATTGGAACGGAGAGTATGTTGTTACTTATAAGTTAAATTCTAGTAAGTCTATGTAGTGTTTTAACTTAAAAACTCAAGTATGGCTTCAAAGCTGGTAAATTGAACAAATATGTTTAACCAAATTTCTGATATTGGCAGTTGGGATTTGCTTCTTTGCTGTTGAGGACCAGTACATGTAATATTCAGAACTGGCCTTACAGACCTGAACTGGCCTTTTAAGAGCGTTGTCTGAAAAATTCAGCAATATCTTTAGCCATTTCCTAACAGGCTAATTTTCATCTAGGGGTGGCAAAACTAACCCAAACTTATTTGACCCGCCCAAGATTTAATGGGTTTGGGCTAGTACAGTTTTGAAGATGGGCTGTTTTGGGCTAGCCCAAGTTAACCCATCAAAAATCATTTGCCCAAATGGACCCATGATGATGCCTAACCTTGACCCATGAAAATGTTCAATCTTAAAGTTCTACCTTGACCCATGTTCTGGAAAATATTTTCTAATTTTTTCATGTTTGGTTGGTTTAAATACTTGAAAAATATTTTTTTTATGAATTTGTTTTTCTCCAATTAGTGAAAAATATTTTCCGTATCAAGAGAAGGGAAATTTTTTTTCACAACTTTTTTTCAACCTTCCCCATCTCAACCAACCCCCATCACCCCACCCACCACCCCTATCCTACCCCCATCCCCACCTCACCCCCACTCTCACCCAACTCCTACCCCACTCCTATCCCCACCTCACCCCCCACTCTCACCCACCCAACCCCACCTCTACCCTAACCCCATCCTAAATACATGAAAATATTATTTAGAGTGCTTTCTTTTCATGTTGTAGAAAAAGTATTTTCTTTCATATCAATAAAATGAGTATTTCCTTTTCATGACGTAGAAAAAGTATTTTCTTTTATTTCAACAAAATGAGTAATTCTGTGAAAAAGAAAATACTTTTTATACATCATGAAAAAAATACTCTTTTTGCTGAAACAAAAGAAAATACTATTTCTACAGTATGAAAAGAAATTACTCATTTTGTAAAAAAGAAAATATTTTTTTTAAATCATGAAAAGAAAGTACTCTTTTTGTTGAAACAAAAAAAATATTTTTTCTACAACATGGAAAAAAGTACTCATTTTGTGAAAAAGAAAATACTTTTTCTACATCGTGAGAAGAAAGTACTTATTTTATTGAAATGAAAGAAAATATTTTTTCTACATCATAAAAAGAAAATATTCATTGTCTTTGAAATAAAAATAAAAAAAATACTCCATCTACAACATTAAAAGAAAATACTTTTTCTATAACAGGAAAAGAAAGTACTCATTTTGTGAAAAAGAAAATACTTTTTCTACATCATGAAAAGAAAGTACTCTTTTTGTTGAAACAAAAGAAAATATTCTTTCTACAACATAAAGAGAAAGTACTCATTTTTTTTAAAAAGAAAATACTTTTTGTACTTCAAAGAAAATAATTTTTCTACATCATAAAAAGAAAATATTCTTTTTGTTGAAATGAAAAAGAAAATACTCTATATACAACATTAAAATAAAGTACTCTAAATAATATTTTTGTTTAGGGTACGAGTGGGGGTTCGAGGATAGGCTGGGGGTTGGGGTAGTGGGAGGTGGGTTGGGGTTGGTGGAAAGTTCTAATTTTGCTACTTTTTTATTATTCTGATCTTTGTTATTATTATAAGATGAAGAACTATCAAATAAAATTCTTAATCCAAATCGAGGAAAGAAATCATTTGGCATGAATTGACATGTATTCCAAAATGTAAGATAATTTTTATATCTGATTGTTTAAAAGTTAAGAATATTGCAATGATTTGGATCAATTTGGGCGGGTTGGGTTACAACCCATTGTTTAGCCCATCTTGACCCAACACATCTTAACCCAAGTGAACTTTGGGTATGGTTGGCAATGACCCATTTAATGAGTCAGCCCATCATGACAAGCCCAAATCAGCCCAAACTGCCTATTTGCCACTTCTATTTTCATCGTTGACCACTGTCATTCACCAAACACAATGATGGGCATCCGAGTTAGTTGATTACAGTCTCGTATTTGTTCCTTGGAAATGAAAGAATGCATGGGAATTTTGCATCTTTAAAGGTCTTGCAAGTGAAGTGTTATATTTTTTATAACAACAACAACCTAGTAAAATCCCACAAGTGGGGTCTTGGGAGGGTAGTGTGCACGCAATGCTTACCCCTATCCCAATGGTGCAGAGGTTGTTTTCGATAGACCCTCAGCTCAGGAAGACGGAAAGAAAACGAGAAGAGACAATATATCAGTAACGTCAATGGAAACCATAGAAATAGTAACAGCATCATAAAAACCATAAAATAGATAACATGCAATAACAATAACCAGTAATTAAGGCCCGGAGTTATGAAAACAGAAGGATAGTGTGGACACAACATTAACCACTAGCCGTCTATGAACAACCCTATCAAACTAGCTTCACCCCCTGTAGGAAGTAGAAAAAAGCTCGACTACCTCTTAGCCTACCACCCTAATGCTCGACCTCCACACCTTCCTATCAAGGGTCATGTCCTCGAAAATCTGCAGTCATGCCATGTCCTGCCTGATCACCTCTCCCCAATATTTCGCCAGAAATGTTATATTTTTTATAATATGGAAAATGTCGACTGCTTTGTGCTCCTTTTCTTTGTTTTGTTTTATGATTCTTTTGTTGGTAATGACAGTGAGTGCCGTTATGAAAGGCCTTTGCTACCTTTCTTTCTCGCCCTCCATCTGTTTTCAGGTTTGATATAACATAGAGGATGAGAACTATCATGAATCTCATCTTCGGCAATTTTTTTACAACTTATGGTGCTTTAATGATCATTAACTAGTACTTTATGGACTGGGAAGCACCATATTCATGGTTTATAGAAATCCGCGTGTCTGTATTTGAAATTTTCACCAGATTTAGCTCTATCTTAGTTTCTTAGTTATAAGTGCAAAAAGCCAGCAACTATGGGAGTTTGATCTGATGTTATTCGATGTAAATATTCATGCCAGCTTCTTAATTTACCTGTACTGCTAGCTGCACTGGTTCTACGGTCATTGTGTTCTTACCAACTTCTTAATTAACTTATAGTACTAGATATGCTGGTTTCCCCATTTATCTATTTGAGGCAATTGTTATACCAGTCATATCTGTGGTTTATTGCAGGCTTATTTATGCCGGAAAGCAGCTAGCTGATGACAAGACCGCTAAGGATTACAATATTGAAGGAGGTTCTGTTCTTCATCTCGTTCTTGCATTGAGGGGTGGTAGTCTTTAAGATTGCTCCAAATTTGGGTAAAAATGTGCAACCTTTATCCATGAATTTATCATGACAGTTCTCTTTTTGTTTCCTTTTTACCTTTTCTCATGTAAAACATGAAAACTTGGTTAAAGCTGACTAGCTGAGATTAGTTTCCCCTTACAAACGTGGAATGGTGCTTGCTTTCTTATTTTTAGATCCCATGGCACTGGTTGCATCAATTATTGAGATGTTTGGGCCCCCAATAGGTAATAAGTGGATACTTAGTGAGCCATGTCGCCCTAATTCACCATACCAATCCTTTAGAATGAAAATCCCCTTGTCCGTTTTGGTTTGACTGTAGAGGGCTGGCTTCTGAAATATCTTTGTGAAACTGCTCAAAGATATTGATCACTTATGTGCAGAAGGCCTTTGAATCCAAATTTATACGGGAAAACCCCCCTCCCCTAGTCGCTATCATGGTCGGTGAAGAGAATGATATGGTCTCCTCCTCACTTTGTTCAACAACTCTTGAAATAGACTGGCCTTTTTTGTTCATTCAGAAAATTTCAAGTATTTACGACATAGTACCTAAGTGTATCCACTGTGCACCCAATGAAAAAGTACAATCACCCCAACAACAAGAATACGGGGATATCGTACAAGTGTTTGGCCCCTCGGGGGGGGGGGGGGGGGGGGGGTGAGGGCAACGGGGCTGCATTTCCTACCTACCGATCAACCTAATAGGTTAAGTGAGGCGCACCCCATAGTACGACAATTCCGATTCAGTACATTTGCTTGCCTGCCAAATTTATGTCAGATGAAACTGCTACGCCGTCTGATTTAATTTATTTGACATGATTTGACTAGATACCGTGTTTAAGAAGAAAAAAAGATCTTAAATATACGGTAACATTTATGTTGCTATAGAATTTTGAAACCTGTGCGTTATTCTTAACTATTGTACTCCAGTAAAGATAACTTGGCTAAACAATCGTCGCTGCTGCTTCTAGACTGTGTGGCAAAATGATTTTGCAGAATTGTTTGGAACTGGGACCCACAAAAGCCACATGTACGAAAATAAAAAAGCCTCCTACAACTAGTGTATTAATGCACATAATAAAACTTTTTAGCTACTCCAGTTAAATAGTAAGAAAAACAATTGACGGGCATGATTTCTGATGTATAAGATTTTGAGGGTCTTTCGCTAGCTTACCAACGCGTTTACAATTCATAATATGGTCACTCCCAACTGATCAATTTTTTTACTTGTAAGCACTTTAGTTCGACAAAATTTACGATTCTATCCCTAATACTTTCTCTGTTCCAGTTTATGAGAACCTATTTCCTTTTTGGACTGTTCCAAAAAGAATGATCCATTTCTAAATTTGGAAACAATTTAGCTTAAATTTTAAATTCTATCCTTAATAAGAAACTTTTATAACCACACAAATACTCTGGACCCCTTTAGAAATGGGAAGAAAGGTGAAATAATTGGGGTTGGTGTCATGACCCGAAATTCCACCCTCGGGACCGTGATGGCGCCTAACATTTCACTTGCTAGGCAAGCCAATGCTAGAATAGTTTTTAGCCATTTTTGACAATTCAAATTAAATAATAACCAAGAAACTGAATAAACTGAAATAGAGTGAGAAAATCATAACAACATCGATATCTAGATTCAATCCCGGAACTGGTGTCACTAGTACACGAGCGACTAGAGTAATACACATAATGTTCTGATTGAAAACATGAATGTCTGAAATGAAATAAACAGCTAGATTAAGGTAGAAGGGGACTTCAGGGCTGTGAACACCGTGTAATTGTACCTCAAGTCTCCGTCGAGCAATCAATCCGATCAATCTACTAACCGCAGCTAGGACTCACTCCAAAATCTGCACAAGAAGTGCAGAGTGTAGTATGAGTACAACCGACCCCATGTACTATGTAAGTGCCAAGCCAAACCTTGACGAAGTAGTGACAAGGCTAAGGCATGTCACTTACAATAACATGTCGCAGTATAATAATAATAACAGGAAAGGAACACCGGAAAAGTAAGGCAGTTAACTTATGAAAATAAACTCAATCCTCGAAACCAATAAAATCAGAAACATCAGTCCTCAGAATCTCGTATGAAAACACTGAAAGCTAACACAATGCAACAATTAATACCTAACACACAATTCGTTGTGGCGCAATCCGATCCCACCATAAAAACACAATCCTACCTTATTTCACCACATCAATATCAAGAATAACATGTAAAATTCATTGCGGCGCACAACCCGATCCCGCCATATAATCAGAATCAATATTATAATCCTCCCTTATTTCACCATATTAAGGAATGCTATAATTAATACAAAGCAACATGACAAGCCATATATATGACAATTAAAGTGTACAAATAAGATAAGTAAGGCAAATAGCAATTAATCATGGAATCATGGAAGAAACAAGCATTTTAATACAAGAGTAAATAGATGACAAGTAACAAGATACATCATTGAAGCAATTAAGACATGTAGCAGTTAAACCATGAAATGAGATAATTAATGAAATACGGGAAAGCATGAAAACAACTATTTTGAGGGCGTATATACACTCATCACCTTGCATATACGCCGCTACACATGTAATTCACATAACACATAGCTCAAGGGTTCCTAATTCTCTCAAATCAAGGTTAGACCCAACACTTACCTTGCTCCGCAATCAAATCAAAGCTCAACCGGGGCTTACCTCTAAAATTTGCCTCCGAACCAACCAAATCTAACCAAAATCAACTTAATAGCATCAAATAATGCTAGGAAAATCAATTACAATACATAAAGTTAAGATCTTTACTCTTTTTCAAAAAGTTAACAAAAGTCAACCCCGGGCCCGCTTAGTCAAAATTCGAGATTCGGACCAAGACCTGTTTACCCATTCGCCCCGAGCCCAATTATGTGATTAGTTTCAAAATCTAGCCTCGAATTGAGGTCTAAATCTCAATTTTTACAAAAACACTCAATTCTACCCAAACCCCTAACTTCTACCGTAAAAATCCTAGATTTAATGTTGAAAATACTTGGAAAGTAGTGGGTAATTGAAAAGAAATAGGTTGAAGTTGCTTACCAAAGTTTTGGGAAGAAACTCCTCTTAGAAAATCGCCTCTAGGGTGTTTAGGGTTGAGAGTTTGAAAGAAATGAGCTAAATCCCATCTTCTCGGCTTTTTGTCCAGGCGTAAGTGTCGCAAATGCAACCTGGGGTTCGCATGCGAACCCCACAAATGCGAAAAAGTCCTCGCAAAAGTGAACTTCCCTCACCTCTGTTGGCATCACAAATGCGACGCTTTGTTCGCAAATGCGAACTGGGACCTTCCGCAAATGCGACCAATTTGATCGCAAATGCGAACTAACTCCCCCTAGCCCCCAAACGCAAATGCAAAGAATCCGTTCGCAAATGCAAACATGACATAGCTCACCTACTATCGCAAATGCGATCCTAACCTCACAATTGCGAGGTCTGAGCCTTGTGCACAAAACTAGTAAAATCCTAACTCCTTCAAACACTCCGCCACTCGTTCGAAACTCACCCGAGCCTCGGGGCCCCAAATCAAACATGCGCACAAGTGTAATGACATCTTACAAGCTCGCTTGTGTGATAAAAATACCAAAATAACACCTATAATTATGAATCATACATCAAAATGATTGATATTTGTAAAAAAACATAATGTAACTTTACAACCGGATGTCCGAATCACGTCAAATCAATTCCGTTTTACACCAAATTTTGCAATCAAGTCATAAATACTAAAATAAACGTATTTCAAGTTCCGGAACCAAAATCCGAACTCGGTAGCAACAAAGTCAACCTACGGTCAAACTTATGAATTCTTTTAGCCTTTAAGTTACCAGCTTTTAACAAATTACGTTAAATCAAGTTATGGGACTTCCGAATTTGATTCTGGGCATACGCCCAAGTCCTAAATAACGATACGGACCCACCAAGATTGTAAAAACATTGATCCGGGTCCTTTTATACAAAACGTTGACCGTAGTCAACTCAAATGAGTTTAAGGTAAAATTTCACATTTCCATCAATTTTTCACATAAAAATTCTCCGAAAAAAGGCACGGACTACACAAGAAAATTGAGGAAGGCTAAACAGAGTGATTCGAGGTCTTAGAACACAGAAATGAAGGCAAAAAGTGAAATTGACCTATCGGGTCAACACAGTTGGTGAGTTAGGAAAGTCTAGTTCTCACTCTATTGAGAATGTTTACTTAATAGATTGATTGAAGTACAGTCTAATAAGTGTATAAAAATTGTGTGATAGAGGTAACATGGTTGCTTTTACCTCTACAAAATTCTTTGTGATAAATCTTACCACAAACAAGATAGTTTTGCAGGGAAAAGGAGTGAATAACATATATGTGATGGATCTATCCACTCTTTCAGATAATGAACTCAACTTTTTTAAGTGTGCTGGACAATGATCCTCTCCTTTGGCACAAAATACTTGGACATGCAAGTCTAAACCAACTCAACAAACTAATCTATAAGGACTTGGTGATAGGGCTGCCTAACATTAGTTCAAGGAAGATAAAGTTTGTGAGGCTTGTGCAAGGGGGAAGCAGGTAAGATCCTCTTTTAAAAGCAAGAAAATCATAAGTACTACCAGGTGGAACTGGTCCATATGGTTCTGTGTGGACCAATGAGGACAATGATCAGAGGTGGTAAGAGATATGTTATGGTGCCTGTTGATGATTACTCTAGGTTTACTTGAACACTATTTTTAACATTTAAAGATAAAGCATTTGACATGGTCACTTCATTTGTTAGGAAAACTCAGAAACAACTTGTCACACCCCAAAACCGAGGGACATGACCGGCGCTCGACCGGGTAGCCCCAGTCAAGCGGACCTGGGTGCCTTTCTTATTCCACGTGTTACCCCGTGTTTTCATTACTCATTGATCAAAAGAAATAGCCATTATAATTAAAACACCTTTTTACGAAATATACATAACACATGGTTACTTAGCGTGGTTTACAACTTACATCGCCCAACATACAAAAATACATATTACATAAGTTCATAACCTACATTTTCTGTCTACGTAGCCTCTAAGGATACAAAAGGATGATACAATACTTGCCGGTAACAAGGCTCTGGCTATACCTTACACAAATACCAAAACAAGACTTCCGGAATAAAAGCAGCATGAGCCA